AGCCGAGCTTCGATGTTGCCCCAGGACGAAAGTATGTGGCATCGAGTGACGATCGAAGTAACTATTCAGTCGTAATTGGTCGAGAGAGACAAGCTTGCTTGCGTTTACACCACATCGAAGTGGCCTAGTTACTTTATAGCCGAAAGCATCCAGTGAGGATCAAAACCATTATTCAGTTTTAACTGATTTGGATAGACAAGCTTGCTTAACATTACATCACGCCATGTTACGCCAACGGAGTCGGATCAACAACATCGCTTCTCTATTCTGTAAAAGCGGAAGTTCAACTCAGGTTAACTGTTTCCCAAGAACGTCTAATTTGAGCAGCATTCCTGAATATTAATTTTAATCACTTCAAGTCACTGGCCAATTGTTATCTGTCCTGCTTATCCACAAAATCTTCCCCCTCTCTTACATCTATATTAAACGTCTAATTCAGTAACACTCTCTTTTGACTGAGAGAGGAATTAATTAACCCGGAAAATAATAAATACTAAACGACTTTTAATATGTACGATGGAATGAGAACAATTTGATACACTATAATGAATATGGATTCGCATTTTCAGATTGGATATCAACTACAACACAAGCCTGAAGAATGCCCGTGACACATCATCACCTGATGCTCAATTAAACAAATTCTAACATATAGCAACTAGAAGACTTACCTGAAGGATGTTGGAGTATATAACATCCAAAATGTTGTGAAATTAATAGTCAAGACGAAAACACTCGTCCTGGTAATTCTGTATGAAGTTAACCAAATTTAATGCTAAATTAGGCAGTTGAAAGAGAGCGTTACTGAATTAGACGTTTAATATAGATGTAAGAGAGGGGGGAAGATTTTGTGGATAAGCAGGACAGAGAACAATTGGCCATTGACTTTAAGTGGTTAAAATTAATATTCAGGAATGTTGCTCAAATAAGACGTTCTTTGGAAACAGTTAACTGGGTCGAAATTTTACAGAATAGAGTGGAGATGTTAATCCGACTCCGTTGGCGTAACATGCCAAGTTCGAGCTGTAAGTGTGGTAGGATTCAAAGAAAACAAGACTTTGGGAATTGTACCTGTAATATATAACTGGCAAGATTTCGTCTGATATAAATCGAAAGAAATTGAATAAATGTCACCTAAAATCCAATTTATTTCTCACTTTTACGTAAAGAGAAAGAAATGTACTAAAACATAAAAAAGACGAATAGCCGGCCCTACCGAATTATGAATCAGTATATTGTTTCTTATTGAATTCATTCGATTAAGTTACTTCGGTATGACCACATAGAATTCATAAAATTTAACTGCAGCTTCAAGTTGGGCAATAACCAAAAACGCTATTTAATGAATTCTGCAGGAAATTGGCGGAGACACGTCTCCAAATAACTTACTGATTTGTTAAGAGTGATTTGTTTGCGAACAAATTAAATATATGAGGAATACGCAGCACATGCGCAAAGGCACATTTAATTAAAAAAAATGATTGGAAGGGATATGGAGAAATGTAGAAATTAAAGAGCAGTCAAATAATGGCAAGCGGGGAAAAAAACTCCTGAAAAGAGATATAAATCCATTTTAATCCGATGAACGTTAAAAGAAAAAAAACTGAAAATCACATGGATAACATTTTACTAAAAAAAAAAAAGAAGTAAGTTGCAAATATTTAGTTTAATTGGTCTTTATATTAGAGAAGTGATTTCCAAGCGCAGACAGCGGACAAATTGCTTCTGCTAAACTTTACGAGTCTCTCGCATATGAATGATGTGTTTTCTTGATGCTATGGAAGAGTGGCTACAATGTTCGTTCCGCTTCAGTGTTGGTGTCGGGCTTTGATCTTCCCGTGACCGATTCAAATAAACAGAGTTGATGGGGAAGGGAAGAGGAAAGGAATAAAAATCAATAATTGGCAGTCGATAGAAGGACCAGGGATAATCTCGACATCAGTTTTTATTCCTCTATTCAGCTTTTGAAGTTTAGGGATATGAAAAAAAAATTGCATTGACACAAGGAGTTGAAATTATAAAATTGAGAAAGAGGAGAAAGTCACCTAACATAATTAAATTGTACGCATGCGCACACACACACACACAAACACACACACACACACACACACACACACATATATATATATATATATATATATATATATATATATATATATATAGACACAGGCGAAAATAAGTTTAAGACTGGTGGTTAAAGTTTTATTCATATCAGAATATGTATCGAATAAAACAATATAATTAGTTTTATTGTGTACGCTTTATGCAGAGTTTATTTTTCTCTCAAATGATGTAAAAATTGTATATTTTTCTACAACTTGAAAAAAATTAATGCAGGATTAATTAAAAAAACAAAAAAGAAAACAAAAAGAAAAAACAACAAAACAAAAACAAAAAAAACAAAAATATTTATCAATATATAATGCCGTAATTTTTATTATTAATTACAGCTTCACATCGCCGAGGCATCAAGGTTGTTATGTGAGGACAACAATCATTTGGAATACTCTGCCATTGTTGCTTAATATAATCGTATAATTGGACAACATTTGTCAGTTTTTTAGTTTGAACTCTTTTACAAATACAATCTCATAGATTTTCAATCGTAAGATGATGCACACCCTGTGGAGGCCACTCAATGACATCCATATTATGGTAATCCAAAAATTGCATTACTTTTTTGGCTTCGTGAATGGGACAATTATCTTATTGATAAATAACTCCAGGTGGCATTTGGTCAGTCAAATATGGCGGAACATCTTCCTTAACTAGCCGGATATAACCTACACTGTTGAGTTATCCATCAACTTTAAAATTGGACCAATACCAAAGCTGCTGAACGCACCCGACACCATTACAACCCTGCCTCCTGCTTGCGCCATCTTTTTGACATTTAGGATGGAATTCCTCGATTTGGCGGCATCTGACAAAAGTTTTTTTCCATCCGATCTAAAGATGCCCGTCTCTTGAAAGAACTCTGGTAAAGATTCCAAGCCTGAATACAAGACGTTTTGCTGCACTTTAATTGCTTGCTTATGTTCATAAAGATAATGTTTTGTTGAGGACGTAACACTATATTTGATCTAGTCACTGGGCTAAGACAACGATGCTTTACCATAGCGAATTAATTGAATAACAATGCTAAGTTATTACACTATATAATGCCTTAATGACCAGTCATGTGACCACCCATTTAGGAAATAATTTGAATAATAGCCATGCAAACTTAAACGTATTTTTACATCATTTCAAAGAGAAATAAATTCTGCATAAAGCATACAGAGTAAAATTTTAATTATTTTTATTAGAAAGACTCTGAAATAAATACTTTAACCAACGGTCTTAAACTTAATTTCGCCAGTGTATGTATGTATATGTATAGCCCTCTCTCTATTTATCTATGTATTTATTTATCAATGTACGTATCTATCTATCTATCTATCTATCTATCTATTCATCTATCTATCTATCTATCTATCTATTTATCTATCTATCTATCTATCTATCTCTACATACATATATACGTACACACACACACGGACACACACACACACATCTATCTATCTATCTATCTATCTATCTATCTATCTATCTATCTATATATATATATATATATATATATATATATAAAGAAATATATATATATATATGCTACACTCATAATAAATAAACTAACTCCCTCAGACGGAAAATACTCGAGAGTGCCGCCATTGAATATTATCCAAATATTAATCTACGCCCAGGTTTTTCCAAATATCACCTTTCCTAACAGAATTCCTACTCTCCCAAACCAACGTACACAACTGTATCAAGAAATCAAAAGAAAAAAAACTGTTGAATCCGTCAACAAAACATTGAAAGCAATATTTCCTCACGTCATAGTACTTGACGTCATTTTTAGTTGACAATATGAATATAATAGCGTTTTCTAAATTCTTTTAGTTGCTAAGGACATTTTTTATTGTTATAGTTACGTTGTTTTAATAATTTCATTTCATTTTTGCATTGAAAAGTTTACATTCGACAAAACACTATATAGAAACTATATATATATATATATATATATATATATATATATATATATATATATATATATATGATTAATTAATTTTCTATTTATATATATATATCAATATTTAAATTTATATAAATATATCAAGATTAATTAATCGTATACATAGAAAAAAATTAATATTAAAAAATCATACATATTAAATTTAATTAATCATATATATAAAAAATTAATTAAAAATATATATTTATATTCATGGACATATATATATATATATATATATATATATATATATACTGGAAGTTTAATTTATTGTATATACAATTTACGTATATATATATATAAATGAACATAATGGTTATGTATGTGAATATATATATATATATATATATTTATTTATATATATTTAATAAATAATTAATTTTTATATGCATGTATATATATATATATAAATATATATGATTAATTAATTTTATTGTATATATATATAATATAAATAAATATACATATATATATACGATTAATTAAATTTAATATATGTTAATTAAAAAAAAAAAAACTTAATTAAACTTATCTATACCTATCTATCTATATATATATATATATATATATATATATATATATATATATATATATATATATATATATATATATATATATGGGTTCCTCTCTTCTCTGCACGGTTTGAGAGTTTGACAACCTTCTGAAGTAATTCAGAAAGTGAGATATTCACCTACCGCCCTAAGCTGTCTGCTCACTGGTGATCTGTGTTCAAACTCCAGTGTCGGCAGAGATACTTTATTCCTATAAAACAATTTGCCTCCTCATCATCACAGTTCTAGTTCTGTCAACCATTTACACAATCTTGTTAGATAGTTTATTCGCTGTTTTCCTATGCACCTCTTGTCTTCAGTATGTCATGTGAGTGTTAAATTTTCTGAAGCTTCTTTCTTTGTTAAGTGTTCCAGATATTTCAAATGCGTCTTACTTAATGAAGGTAAGTAAAATATCGAAGATATACAGACATGAACGGAAGCAGGAAAGACACGAAATAAAGAAAGAAATAATAAAGAGTCAAAACGAGAGACACGGTATTGGAAGAATGAAAAGGGGGCAAAAGATGGTAAAAATAAAAGACAAGAACAACAAAAAAAACGAAGGAAATAGCTATCAATTGGACGAAAGAAGGAATAAAAAAAGAAAAAGAAAAAGAAAAAAAAGAAGGAGATAGCTCTAAATTGGCCGAAAGAAGGAATAAAAAAAGAAAAAGAACAAAAGAAGGAAATAGCTATCAATTGGACGAAAGAATGAATAAAAAAGAAAAAAAAAGAAAAAAAGAAGGAGATAGCTATCAATTGGACGAAAGAAAGAAAAAAAAAAAAAAAAAAAAAAAAAAGAAGGAGATGGACGAAAATTGGAAAAAAAAAAGAAAAAAAGATATAAAAAAAAAAGAAAAAAAAAAAAAAAAAAAAAAGAAGGAGATAGCTATCAATTGACGAAAGAAAAGAATTAAAAAAAAAAAAAAAAGAAAAAAAGAAGGAGATAGCTATCAATTGGACGAAAAGAAAGAACAAAAAAGAAAAAGAAAAAAAAAAGAAGGAGATAGCTATCAAAAGAAAAAAAGAAGGAGAGAAATTGGACGAAAGAAAGAATAAAAAGAAAAAAAAAAAAAAAAAGGAGAGATAGCTATCAATTGGACGAAAGAAAGAAAAAAAGAAAAAAAAAGAAAAAAAGAAGAGATAGCTATCAATTGGACGAAAGAAAGAAAAAAAAAAAAAAAAAGAAAAAAGAAGGAGATAGCTATCAATTGGAAGAAAGAAAAGAAAGAAAAAAAAAAAAAAAAAAAAAAGAAGGAGATAGCTATCAATTGGACGAAAAAAAGAATAAAAAAAAAAGAAAAAAAAAAAAGAAGGAGATAGCTATCAATTGGACGAAAGAAAGAAAAAAAAAAAAAAAAAAAAAAGAAGGCGATAGCTATCAATTGGACGAAAGAAAGAATAAAAAAAAAAAAAAAAAAAAAAAAGAAGAGATAGCTATCAATTGGACGAAAGAAAAAATAAAAAAGAAAAAAAAAGGATGTTCATAAAGATAATGTTTTGTCAAGGACGTAACACTATATTTTATCTAAAAAGAAAAAAAGACAACGAAAAAGAAAGCGAATTAATTGAAGGACAAAAAAAAAATGCCTTAATGACCAGTCATGAAAACCCATTTTGGAAATAATGAAATGCAAACTTAAAAAAATCAAAGAAAGAGGAAAGAAAAGCATAAAAGATAAACGAAAAAAATTTTAAAAAGAAAAAAAAAAAAATTTAACAACGGTCTTAAAATTGGAATAGTGTATGTATGTAAATGAAAAAGCTATCCCTATCTCTATTTAAAATGTATTTATTTATTTTGGACGTAGAATCTATCATTAAAAATCTAAAAAAAGAATCTATCTATCTATCAATTGGACATAAATATATACGTAAAATGAAAAAAGAAAAAAGAAAAAAAACACATCTAAAAATCTATCTATCTATCTATCAATGGACTATATATATATATATATATATATATATAAATAAAAAGAAATATATATATATAATTGGACGAAGAAAAATAAATAAACTAAAAAAAAAAAAGAAAAAAAGGAGATCTATCCATTGAATATTATCCAAAAGAAAGAAAAAAAAAAAAAAAAAAACCTTTCCTAACAGAATTCTATCAACCAAAACCAAGAATAAAAAAAAAAGAAAAAAAAAGAAAAATTGTTGAACGAAAAGAAAAAAGAAAAAATGAAAGAAGATCAAAAAAAACTGGTTGAAAGAAATATTAAAAAAAGTAAAAAAAAAAAAGGAAAATATGAAGAAATAATAGAAAAAGAAAAAATTTCCAAATATTGCTATGAAAGAATAAAATTGTTAAAGTTACGTTGTTTTAATAATTTCATTTCATTTTTGGATTGAAAAGTAAAAAGAAAGAAAATGAAAAAAAAAAAAACTATATAAAAATAATATATATATATATATATATATATATATATATATATATAAATAAAAATAATTAATTAATTTTCTATTTATATATATATATCAATATTTATATTTAGATAAATAAAGAAAAAATTAAGATTAATTTAATTGAATATAAAATAGAAAAAAAATTATCAGCTATCAATTAAAAAATAAAGAATAAAAAAAAAATAAAAAAAAAAATTAATAGCTATCAATTGGACGAAAGAAAGAATAAAAAAGAAAAAAGAAAAAAAGAAGGAAATAGCTATCAATTGGACGAAAGAAAGAATAAAAAAAGAAAAAAAAAAAAAAAGAAGGAGATAGCTATCAATTGGACGAAAGAAAGAATAAAAAAGAAAAAAAAAAAAAAAAAAGAAGGAGATAGCTATCAATTGGACGAAAGAAAGAATAAAAAAGAAAAAAAAAAGAAAAAAAGAAGGAGATAGCTATCAATTGGACGAAAGAAAGAATAAAAAAGAAAAAAGAAAA